CATAACTTAGCATTAGCTAATGCACACATGACAAGTGACATTGCGTGAGATAGTAAGTGACATGACATTAGTTGATGCACTCATAGTGAGTGACTTTGCATAAGAACCTTTTTATATTTTGGCAAAAAAAAACTTTTGACGGGGTCGCGAAAAAAAAAACTTTTAGTGACAAAAAAACTTTTAGCAGCAACATTTGTTCCACAAAAAAAATATTAACAACAAGACTTATGGTGAAAAGTCTTTAGTAACGACTTATAATTGGCTTGTCATGTTCATTCCGGTAAGTAACGGAGCAAGATTCTAGGATTTGGTCAAACAATTATATCACCAACAAGAAGAACAACAATAAAGATGATCAAGGATTAAAATGAGAAACTAAGAATAATTGTCGCCAAGACTGATATAATTTAGCAATGCAGGAACTTGAAGAAGCACCAAGTAAAGGTCTTGATTTAAATACACACACATGTGCCACTTTAATCAATAGTATATCAATATATACATTTAACTAAATAATACATAATACAACATAGACAATAAGTGATACATAATACACCAACACAACACAATACATTCTTATTAACTCCATTTATTTATAGAAATTCCATGACTCCAAGAGCAGAGCAGCACAACAAGCAACCTTGAAATCAGAAAACCCAGATCGCCTACAGAGAGATTCAAACTCTTTCAGTTCTTTCTTTACTATCAAAAAATGACATGAGATTGTCCCATGCTTAATACAAGCTTGGCTTCTTCTGTTGTCCAATTGCTTTTGGCATTATTAAGTCCATCACAATTAGCCTTCCATTTTCAAGCAATCCTTCACGGCATTCGCTCAAAAGTTTATGCTTTTTTCATCAGACCAATTGTGGCAAATAGCCTACAAAGTATCACCATAAACATCATCAAGATCCATATTTATTTGTTTCATCCAAAACCTAATCAATAGATAAATATTCCGGAATTTTGTAGAGAGAGAGAGAGAGAGTGTGTGTGTGTGTGTGTGTGTGGTCATTTTCATTAAGACATTTGATTAAGAAGCGCCCCTTACATTGCACTAAATAGCATACTCTATTTAATTAAAATGTGTTTGAATAGTTTGAGAATCATATAAAAGTTAACAAACTTCAAAATGAGAAACATGTTAATTATATATTAGCATTGAAATTTAGTCAACTTTAGTATCATGATAGAGTTTCACAATATAGAACATTGGTAACTGCACAATGGGTCTTCAAAAAGGTTAGTTGAAATCTTAATCTTCTAAAAAATTTGACATCTTTTTAATTATACCCTTAAGTGAAATGATATAATATTTGACTGGTTTAAAACTCTCTCATTAATTACTTTAATTTCTTATGGATGATTTTAATATTTAACCCCTTAAAATGACAACTGAAATTTCAAAGAACTATTTTTTTAAATACAAATAAATAAAATAATGATATAATTAAAAAAACTATATAAGGATATAGTTTTTAACAATCTAAATAACAAAGGTTTAAAAAAGGATAATAATAAGGGACTTTTGCATATATAACTCATGTTATAAGATTACTAAGAAGATAGCCTAATATTTATTATATTTTATGTATGACCGGTTAATTATATTTGTCAATGATATGTCATTATATAGTAATTATAAATCTTTTGTAAATTTTCATATTTTCAATAATTAACCCCTTATATATTAATGTGGACTCGCTACACTCTCAAAATTTCAAAAACTTAATCCATATTTTCTAAGTATAAGATTTTTTGGGGCTAGTGGGCCAATTTTTCCTAATAAAAATGCTCCAACTTAAATCACCTCTGCTTAAAAAAAAGTTTACATGTAAAAATGCACATTAATTTAAAATAAAATAACAATGTAGCATGCCAAAATACTGCTAACTAATTTGAATCTCAAGTTTTCATACTAAACTTCAACATTATGGCATCACCTTTTGGAACACTTTCAAATATATCACCTCCGACATGCTCAATCCCTTCAAAAAAAAAAAACGGTTATTTAAAAGTAGCTCATCAATGAAAAGCAGCTCAAAAAGATATGGTTTCTTAAAATATAGTTGCTCCACTTGTCTACATATTTCTTCTTTCCCAGTTATTAAATATTTTTACAAGATGGAATATGCATAAAGGATGACCTGTATCACTAATTATCCTATAGTGCATACGTTGAATTACAACCTTAAAGAATTGGTCAAGTGAGCAAATATCCAAATTGGATTAAATAATTGTTTTATACTATAATGGTGACTGCCAGAATACTTTAAGAGGGAGAAATTATAATTTTGTTATTCAAAATAATGTAACTGCCTTAAATCCCGATTGTGAAATATGGGAAATAATTAAGTTCAGCATTTGAAAAGTACGACAGAAGAAGTACTTTCTCTGCTTCCCACCCCCTCTCTCTCTTTGAGGTCTAGTGTATCTACTAAATCCTCTGCAGTAATCCCGAGTGGTAAAAGAGAAGTTTTATCATCACCGAAGATATGTTTCTAAACTCTAAAATCTTGCGAAGTGAAATTAGAAAGAGATACATGTACACAAATTGTGTTCTATTTCTATCTTCCAAGCAGGGAATTCACTACCAAGTGTGTGTGTGTGTGTGTGTGTTTCTCTTTACTTGCGCAAACTACACGATAGTTGAAGACACTTAATTCTAATCCTAATTATTTGAATTGGCATAAAATGATATAGAAATACCTGAATGGGGTGGTGAATTTTGAATAACATGGGGCAAATCAAAATTGATACCCTTAATTGAAGGATACTTAGCGACAATCATTGCTAGTTTTGACCAGTGCCACCTCCGACATCAACAAGTGTTGATACTACTCCCTCAAATCCTTTGTATATTTCTAACGTCCTTCTCATTTGTAGGTTGCTAATATTGGCCATTGCTTTGTTGAAAGTCTTGTTCCATGTTGGATCTGTCTCTGCGTATTGGTAAACTGGCATTCCATGAATTTTCTTGAACAAGTCATTGTCTTCGTCAGTGATTGCATCCTTAAAGTTCAGCCTGCGTAGAAATTTAAAAAAAAAAATTGAAACAACATAATAACAGCATATATAATTAATAAAATAAAATGCTCAATTTTTTTTTATAATTGGCAGTACTTTTTTATCTCTGTTTGCCTTATTTGAAAAAGGAAAGAAATGAAATGTATAAGAAAAGTTGAATCAGCAGCCAATGTGTAACTAATGAAAACAAGGAAAGCAAGAAGAGGAATATTCGAAGATTTGGTTTTTATTGGGCAATCATTTTGAAGATTTGAAGATTTAGATATATTTGTCACCTTTACTTTAAATCTTGTAAACTTGTTGAATATTGAGGTATTTTAGATTATTTTACAATATTGTATGAAGGATTATTAAATAAATAATAAACCAAATAAAAGGATTCAGGTCAAAGTCCTACCAGATTTGAGCATAGTAGAATCTACCCAACTACTCACAAGAGTTTTAGACTACTAGAGTTTAGACTATCATGCACCATAGATAAACTGAAGAGAGAAAGAGAAGGAGAGGAAGAAAAAAATTAGAGAACTATTTGTTCTGGTGTGTGTACCACCTCCATCCACCTTCTCTATTTACAGGGGAGGGAGGCCATCTCCAAAAAGAAAAATCAAATCAATAATAATTTGTCTCATTGTGGAGGGAATAAATTAACTTGAATAATCACCATTATTGTAGAGGATACTTCTCTTTTTGGAATTCAATCAAAAATTAATCAAATTAATTTCATATTTCGATCAACATATTATTACCGAATTATCACATCACACTAATGGCTCATCAAAGGTGAATTTTATGCAAATTCCAACATGTTATGATTAACAGGGATTTAGTTTCAAGTAATTTTGTCTATAGAAATGTTGTTAATAGTGCTCATTCTTTTACTAGGAAAGCACATAATTTGGAGAGAACCTATTTCATCAACTACTAGAAAAATACAAATTAGAGAGAGAATTTAGTGAGTAATCATCTATTCCTTTCTAAAATACCAAATTAGTAAGAAAATTAGCATGGAATGTTAATTTCATAGCTTGACTTAAAATTAGCGAGAAAAATAACGAGGGACTATCAATCTTTCTCTAAAATAAGAGAATTGTAAGAAAAATAGTAAGGGACTGCCAATCTCTCTCTAAAATAAGATAATTAACAAGGAATTTAGTGAGGGATATTTTGTCCCTAGCTAATTGCTACAAAAAAAATTTAACTTTTGACGATGGCCTTTAATTATATATTTAATTAGTTTCATTTAAAAATAAAATAAACTTAAAAGTTAACTAAAATATTCATAATAAAATTATTTAATATTTTCTTTATTTTAAGTTGATTTTCATTAATAAAATAATATTTATTAAAAATATAATATAAAGAATAATTTAAATAAATATAAATATTGTTAACACATTAATAATTAAAAATAATATTAACACGTATATAGTGTGTATTCTTATAATATATTATTTGATATATTGATATAGTTAAATAATGTATATTTAATTTCTCATATAATGACTGCAAATGTCTTTCAATTCAATTGGCAAAGAAGAAAAGCGTAAGATTTGGAAGGTATGAGGTCAAAGATTCAAGTCTTGATTTTGACATAAATATAATAAATATATGATATGGTAAGGAGCAAGTGACATAATACAAGATGGACAATAACATGTCATGAGTTATCTCATATGTGGTGGGTGATGGGGCACAAGATGGTAGATAACATGGTGGCTAACAAGGGGTAAGGTTGTAGTGACATGCCGCAAGTTAACACACACATAGCAGGTGATATGATATTATTATTTTTAAATATAGGCATATTTAGTGAGAGACTAATCCCTTGTTAAAGTTATTAAATTTTAAATAATAGTATCGAGGGATTCAATCCCTAACTAATTTTAGTAAGGAACTAAATCCCTCGCTAATTATTTCTCATTAAATTTAGCGAGTCCTCTTTTAACTACAAATTTAGCAACGGACAAAATCCCTTGTTATAGTATAATTTAGCTAGAGAAAATGACATTTAGCGAGAAATTTTCATTTTTCTAGTAGTAATCTTTGATCATTTTCCACTTTGTCTTGATGAAAGAGGTGAAAGATCGACGAGTGATTAATCTCTCTTGTTATGTTACGTTGTTGTACCTCTCTTTTTCATTATTATGAATGCATTTTAGTTTTGTTCAAGAGGATTTTTGCACCATATTTTAGGTTTTATAAGAAAAATTGCACCACATTATAATATATGATAGATATTTCTGCCCCTAACTCATTTACACATGGTACAGTAGGTGAGACCCACAATTTTTATTCAACGATCATTTAGCCTCTGTTATGAATTGTGGATTTTTGCATTGTTTGTATAATTCACAGGTAAAATTGCACCATATTTGAGTTAAAGATGTCAGTAACTTCTCACAAAATTCTTTATGGGTATATTTCTACTTTAACTCTAAATATTAACCATCATCCATCACCACATTATCTCATTGTTATAAATGGTATAACTATGAGTCAAAATGAAGAATAAAAAGAAAAATCTTACCAAACACGTGTGAATGCAGGATGAGACAAGGTTATTGTCTGCAAGCCCAAAGATGCACTCAAAAAGTGCTTCCTAATGGGAGAAATCCATAGACTCTAATCTCTTCATCATCAGTGTCACCAAATTCTTCATATGAACAAGTGAGAAGAGAGTGACTTGCGAGAAGCCTCAAGAGATGATCCAACCTGAGAGCCAAGTCTTTGTGTTGACATGAACATGAAAGCTTGGAAGCTATTTCTGAAGCCAACATGAGTTCCTTCTTCTTCTTCCTTGGCAATGATGTCAAACAAGTCGAGCTCGATAGCAGCGTTTAGAGCTACAGTGAAGATATGGCTACTTCGCAGAACAAAGGCAAAAGGATAGATGAATCATATTCATCGTCTCCTTCCTTGAGAAAAGAAGGAGCATTAATAATCTCATTTTGTTTCTATGTAGAATTCAAAGCCATGATTATTTTGAGTGTTTGGGGGAGTAAGGGAACGCTTTATAAGAAAAAAATAGTACTCCCTCCTCCCCTTTATAGGACAGAAAGAATAATTTTGTTTGTCTTTTTTACAAGTCACATTATAAAATTTTATCATAAATTTTCTTTTTATCCTCTACTGAATGTTGGAAAGATAAAATATGTTATTAAAGTATGTATATTTAATAAAGGTAAAGTTGAGAATTTATTATATTTTTAGACAGAGTTAATGGGATTTGATGTTTTCTTTAATAATGGTGAAATATGCTAGAAGTGATTTATAAATAAGACTAGATAAATATTATAGACAATAATATGGAAAAAAATACTTTCTCCAGTAATTGTTTACATAGTTTACTATCTATTATCACCAGCATAAAAAATTGATAATATTCATTAGTGATATTATTATTATCATTGATAAATTAAATTTTATATAGACATCTAGCATAGGCAATATAAAGCAAATAATTATATAATAGAATAAATAGTTATGTTAGTTCGTACTATAATGAACTAATGATATTATAGAAAGTATATATGTCTGCGTTGTCATAGGTTAAAAAAGTATTTGTCGACAGAAAAAAAAAAAAAAGGATTAGCCGGCCTTAAGCATAGCTAGTCATCAGGATAGACATATACAATCTGTAATAACGTAATGAATTCATAGTTAGTGTGGGTTGACTAACATTTTGAGAGAATTACTTTAAGCTCCATTCAAGACAATTAATTACTTCCAAATCTGTTAACAACTAAGCTTAGGAGAAAGACAATACAATTGTTCAACATTATATAAAGTTAGACAACCAAAAGCATACTTTAACCTAACTTCCATAACCAGATCAAATTGTTCAATCAATGTGCTGATTTTTTCAACCCAAATCAAATTGCTGAATCAATTAGATTTTCATTACGCCATGATCAAATTAAGGCATCTACTGTTAAGCAGCCTCCAGAGACTTAAGATCGACTAATTTATTATCCTTTACCTTACTGATTGAACACAAATGACTTCAATATATAATAATATCTTTTTTATTTAAGCAAAAGGTAGGCAATATATAATAATGTCTTAATAAACGTTTTTTCCTTGTTAATTTGATTAATTTGTGCTTTTTTCTGCTGAATTGATGAATGGCCATTAATGTCATGTCACTGTGCTTTATTAATTGTTTGGAAAAGATAAAGTTAACAAGACTCGGTTTGGGTGCTTATTACATTAATGTGGCATGAGGAGGTGCACACATGATAGGTGATATGACACAAAGTGTTAGTTGATGTGACATGAGATGGCTTTTTTATTTTTTAAAAAATAACTTTTTGTAGCAACAAAAAGGTTTTTACTAGCAACTTTTTGCCACTAAAAGGTCGCCACTAAAGTGTAGTCAGTGATGATTATATGCAGCAATGAATATAGTCGCCACCAAAAATATACCTTGCCAAAGGTAAACTTTTAGCAGCAAAATACTTTGGCAATGACGATGGTATATTTTTGGCAGTGATTATGTTTGTCACCACCAAAAATCATTAGCGACTAAATTTTTTGTGACGACCCTTTGGCAACAAAAAATTGCTATTAAAAATCTTTAGCAGCAACTTTTGAATTTTTGATGCCAACTTTTGTCACCACCAAAAGTTTTTTTTTTTTTTATAATGGAGCACCATGGTGCTCATTACTATGATAAGATCTGGACCATTATCTGGATGGTCCAAATTTAAACCATTATTATAAATTATATTTTTTAAAATAAAAATTATAAAAATTATAAAATAATGTTAATAAATTTTTTATTTTTAATACGATTTATATTTAATTTAAAGGTCTAATTTAATATTAAAATTTTTATAATTGATAGATATTGACTATTCGGATGTACTCTACAGAGTCTAGATTTAATTTAATATTAATCTGAACTATGCAAAGTATATCTAAATAGTCCATATATAGTAATTATAAAAATTTTAATATTAAATTAGACCCTTCAAATTAAATCTAGACCATATTAAAAATAAAAAATTATTAAAATTATTTTATAACTTTTATAAATTTTTATTTTAAAAAGTATAACATATAATAATGGTTTAAATCTAAATGGTTCAGATCTCATCATAATGATGAGCACCATTTGTAATGAGCACCCAAACCAACTCGAAGTTAATACATCTAAAATATTAGGTTTACCTGAAAAGAATGTTGGTAGGTGGAGCGACCGCTGTTGAAGTTTTGAGAGGCTATGAATCAATTTCGAATTGAAAACCTAAACCACATGTTGGAGATTCAATGAGAAAGAAGAGCGTGGTTTCAAATATGAAAAATCACTATTATCCAAAAAAAAAAAGCTTGCAAGAGCTTTCCTATTAAAGCACTTAATTACAACAAAAAAATGGTCTAACAGATATATGCACAATTTACAAGAGTATTTTTTTTTTTTTACAAAGCCCTCTGATTGGTATTCACTTCTCAAAACCCTACTATTTAAAAAGAGGGAAAATCTTTGACGAATGATATTTTTTTTTGGTTACCCGTAAGTATTTTTTTATTGAAAATAATTTTATTTGAGATAGTGTTAGGCAGTAAATGTAATCATCTCTCTGAAGAGATATTCAAATCTTAATTTATTACATTGTGAGTAACTAGTGTCTTCTACTAGATCTAACTTTTATTAGTAATAAATGAATTTTTATCAAACTAAAATTTGAAGGTAGCTTTTAACTTGCCAATAACCCTTTTTTTTCACCTTTCTCAACGAAGATCCAGATCTTGATTTACTATATTGTAAAGAATTAGCCTCTTTTGCTATATTCAGTTACCGTTGATTGCCAATAACATTTGCATGAGTTGTAATCCAAGAAAAACCAATTTGAGAGGCTTCTCGAGGGAACAGTACATGAGTTGGGCTTCAAATTGAGAATTAGAATTGGGTCTTGGCAAAAACAAACACGGAGAGTTAGAATTGGGGTTATTTTTTGGGCCACAATTGGGCATCTGTTCAATATGTTTTTCAGAATTAAAATAAAAAATGGGCCTTCTGGCTAAGATCAACAATCAAATTTTAAATTAGGCCCATGGATCAATTCACCAATATAGAAAAAATTTGTCAATTTATTTATTTATTTATTTTTTTTTAGAAATTGTGGTTTAGACCTTTTTCAATTTTGCATCAACAAAACTTATTAGCAGAAAAGATCCAACAGTACACGATCCTCTTTTTTTTTTTGGGAACTATTTTAATATTTAAATATGTATGATAAATTTGATAATTTTTTATTAAGAAATAAATAAAAATATGATAGTTATAATTATAGTCATTATCACACCTAAGGCTGCACAAAGGATTAGATGATATTAAATTTATGCTTAATTTAAAGTTTGGTCTCTTTCATGAAGTGGAGTGGATTAAGCTACTCATAGTCAGATCTTATCTAGTGATAAACTGAAAATTAACAGGATCGGACTTGGTCTATAAAATTAGAAGACTGGTCCTATTAGTCTAGTACTCACTTAGCTTTTTTTTTTCTTTTACTTTGTTTTATATGAAAAGTAATAATTCATTTCAATCTTGTATACTCAGTTAAGATAACAAGATCACTTATAATCATAATAAATTCAAAAAACCAACTTTTTTGTGGCCCCATTTTGTCACTACCAAAAATATTTTTATAAAACATAATTTTGAAATTAAAAATAATTTATATAAAATGTTGCCACTAAAAGTGCTTTAAAAAATAAATATAATTTCAATTTATTTCAAATAATTTATAAAATTATCTTATGAATTATTTTTAAGAATTTAAAATTAAATAAAATTATCATTCAAAATGTATTTATGAAATTAAATTTTGTATCTTATATAAAGAATGAGAAATAAATGATATATAGGATCATAAAATAAAAGGAATAATAATGAAAATGTGTGAAGTTTAATTATTAAATCATTTTTGAAATTTTTTTATTATTCATAATATTTTTTAGTTATATATACTCATCATTATTAAGAATAATGTTATTAAGCTAGTATTTTAATATGATTTAATTAAAATCTTGATAGGTGATTACTTTCATTTACAATTAGGCTAATTATAGGCAAATACTTACTTACATACCAATACATAAATTTAAAAAAATATTAAATATAAATTATAATAGGGAGAATCACATCTAAGGGCTAGCACAGAATGAATTATTATTAAAATGAAGATGTAAATTTATTTTTTAATGGAACTTGTTATCAGTCCTCCTCTATGATTAATTTGTTTAAGTGGTCCTTGAATGTGATTCTTCCCTTGTGATATCTAAAGTTAAGGGTCTGTTTGGTTTTCTTGCTTTTTATATTTAGAAAGCAAAATTTTACTTTCAGAAAGCAGAAAGTTATTTAGGTAAAATATTTTACAGAAAAGTACATTCTAAAAGTATATTCAAATAGTAAATAAAAGTAAATTTTTGAAACATAACTATTTGAAACTTTTGAAAAGTAGGATATTATTTGACCATACTATCCCAAGTTTAATCTCTTATTTTTTATTTAAAAAATAGTTGATTCATTAAAAATATAATTATTATTTCAATAATAATAATTAGGTATCAAGTTTTTAGCATTATAAATTGAATAATTAATTATGTTACTTTTTAGCATTAGTGTATAATAAAAATTATAAATCTTTATCACATTTTTTAAAATTAAAATTAAAAAAATACAAATAACTAGAGATCAAATTTCTAGCATTATAGATCAAAATTTATGTTGTTTAAAATTTTTATCACATTTTTTAAATATTTTAAATATATCACATTTGTATAATAAAAATTACAAATCATCATTAAAATATTTTTTTTGGTAATTGTACATTTAAAAGCACATTTCACTATCATAGACCAAATAACTTTCAATGTACCAAACTGATTTTTGAAAAAATGTATTCAAACATAAATTTTATTACAATAACTGACTTTTACTAAATTGACTTTTACCAAATAAACATTTAAAACTAAACACGCGCTAAATTGTTTAGAGGATAAATAAAAAATACATCAAAGTAAAAATATTCTAAAACTTTATATTTTAGATTCAATTTTTTGTCATCCCGTAAAAAAGTTACTTGAAAGGGGTGCTATTATGGATATTGGAAGTTTGATTCAAAGGGATTAAGAAATTAAAGTTGTACCTATAAATTTCATGAGATACGAATGGCATTGCGTACTACATGGCATACTGCACACTTAACATTTGGCCTATTGTACACATAGGCCCTGTTTGGTATGCATGCTTAGGTTTAGAGGGATAGGGATTATGATTGGCATTGGTATTGGGATTGGAATTGAAATTGAAAATGATGTTTTAAATTATGTTTGGTATGAAGTAATGATTACAAGGAATACTTCCCTTTATTTTATTTTACACTTAAACATAAATCATCAAAAGACCAAAATACCCTATATAATTAATAAAAAAATTGTAAACCTAAAAGCCCATTCCTCCCTCTGTGAAATCAAACCCATCTCCCTCACTCTCCCTCTTTGCCTGCTTGCATGATCACTCTTTACTTCAAGGATGAAGGCTTGCAACTCTATGCGATGATGGAGATCAATTGATAGAGATGAGCACCTGCAGTGAGATCAATGAGGAAACAGATAAGAGTACTTCACGTTGCAATGGTGTTCAACAATTTCACATGTCACTTCGAAGATTTTTGAATCAAATGTGTCATTTTTCTCTATAATTGTTGATTTTTTTCTTGAAATTCTAAAAAATTTTGAAGCTCTGTGTAGCTTCTACAATGGTGGAGATTTAAGCTTCAGTGCTGTGTTTATCTCAGACAAGAAGTTCCACTTCTACGATTGTACTATTAGATTTCTCATTCGTTTTGTCATTTTAGAGAAAAAGGTTTTGAGTTGTTGAAGTTTTTTATGAGATTGCAATTTTTCTTTTTGAGCTCGAAAATCATTGCTATACTATTTTTGGGTTTCTTTGTCTTGGATTTAAATCTATTCCTCTACAAAAAGTGTCATTGATGGAGGAGATGCAAGGTGGATGGCAGGAGGTCGTTGACGACGAGAAAGGAAGGTGGAGCGCTAGAGGTCGTCAACGGTGGAAAAGGAAGGTGCCGTGCTGGAGTTCTTTAAGGGAGGAGAAAATTTGGGCATTTTTCAGGGGCATTTCAATCAAAAAAACTCTAATCCCAAGATAAAATTTGCAGTACCTAAGGATGGTGGGTTTGAGTATCCTCATTTAAGTGGGATTGAGCAAGCCCAGGGATTGTTAAATACTTCATACCAAACTTGTCAAAAGTAGTATTACCTAGACGTAGTCCCAGTCCCAACCCCCCAATGCCACATACCAAACAAGGCCATAGTGTCAGCTTTATCTATCAAGCTCTAATGGCTTTTAGTTTTTGGACAATGATGTCACATAATTTTACCTAGTGTTTATGATTCCATTGTTATTGAAAAGAAAATAAGAAGTTACTAAAAAGCTTTTTATAATAAATTAGTACTAAGAAGAATATGAAAACTTATTTAAATCGACCTTATTGTTATAAGGTAGAGAAATGATTAGAAGTTAATTAGATCAATTACATATTTATGAGATCCTTGTTATGACATGAGATAAGATTATGCACTTGTAGTGGTTGACATGGTGCAAGGTTATAGGCAATGTGTAACATCCTAACTTTTATTATAAAATTTAAGTAATAGAAATTAATTTTATTGAGTAAATTGAAACTATTAAATATTTATTTAAATTTGATAAGATTATTTTAGGTTAATTAAAATTTACCAAATAATTATTTGAGAAAATAAAATTTATCCAAGAAGAGTTAAGTTTTAAAGGTATAGTGTCAAGCCATGATCTTTAAAAACTAAATAAATTAATAAATTAATAATGTTAAATAAGGTTAAATAAAATTTTGTAAATTATTTCTCTACTTCAAAGAACAATATTATTTAAATGAAATGAAAATTTATATCTGAGCAAAATATAAAAATTTGACTTATTTATTTAAATTTCAGATAAGTCCTGAAAAATATATACATATAATATAATATGAATAACAAGCACTTTTTTAAAATATTGTGATTCTAAGCTATCCACTTCATCATTAATTTCTAAAACTATTTTTTCAAAAATAATATCATCATTATCTCTAATAAAATTAACAACAACTGCTTTTTCTTATCCTGAAATATTTTCTCCCATGATCTCGATCGTAAGTCCATGGCTTCTCAACTAATTCAAAATTTTAAATTTTATCTTAGAACATTTAAAAATCTTAAAAAATTTTCAAGTATCATAATTTCCTCACCCCTATCCTATTTGTGAAATTAATTTTAATTGTTAATTATAATTTAAATCTGCAATGTGAATAGGTTGTTTATAATATATATATATATATATATATATTGACTTAGTTTTTAAATTTATAATGAAGAAGTTACCATGACGGGCTTCATCTCCTTTTCTCACTTTGTGCTTCAAGACAAAAATTTCAGTTTTCCAACCGAACATGCCATCCAGTGATGCAAAAATCTTTCCATTATTGTATGTGGAATTAAATGGATATTTTACAATTTAAATTTTCCGCCATTTATTTCTTCACCACAGATCATAGTTCTTCCTTCTTTTGTAATCTCATTTTTGTTTTTCTCTTTTCACTTCTCCGCCATGCTACCCTGAAAGCCTATGAGTACAACACGGTGGCTGTTAAAGTGTCACTAGAGTCAATGATATCAAAGGCATCATAAGGCTTACCTCACTTTAATGATACTTAGCATTCATGCTAAAAGTATATTTAAATTTCAATTGGATATAATTAATTATAAAAATAATTAATTAATATAATTAATTTTAATTATAATTGATTATGCTATAACGCTTAAATACTGAAATTGATTTCAGTTATACAAATTATCATAAAAGACATTGTTTTTTAAAATTAAATTATTGATAAAGTTGTATTCAATATTATTAAATTTATTAAACTTTATCTAAGAAGTAAAATATATTATTTAATAATAAAATTGAATCTATAAAAAAACCTACTCAAGGTTATTTTAAAAAGTGATTCTAGCTCAAATAATCATTATCAAGATTCTGGCTATTTGGATAATTATTCTGAAAATCAATTATTTGACCTGAATAATCGATTTTTTGGCCTTTCCAAACACGCTGTAAGACGACATTTCCATTAGGGTAAAATTCTCATCTATCGCTTTTGAATTTCACATTTGCAATACGTATCTCCCTTTAATTAATTTTTGTATGGTGTTTGGAAATCCAATTAGGAATTTTGAAATATGTTTGAATTGGGACGCTCTGATCTTCAATTTTATGAAGCTATGTAGGATTTGTTTTCATTTATATATTTTTTTTATAGACAAAAATTGGTCTCAATAGAAAACTATATAACCTCCATGAACCCACACTCAGAAAGTATCACCAATGTAGAAAATTGATCATATTCATTAGTGATATTGTTATTATTATTGATAAATTAAATTTTATATAGATATATAGCACAGGCGATATAAAGCAAATAATTATATAATAGAATAAATAGTTATGTTAGTTCGTACTAATAATAAACTAATGATATTATAGCATGTATATTTGTCTACATTGTCATAGGTTAAAAAAGTATTTATCGATGGGGGGAAGGGTTAGCCAGCCTTAAGCACAGCTAGTCATCAGGATAGACATGTATAATCTGTAATAACATAATTAATTGATGGCTAGTGTGGGTTGACTAAACATTTTGGGAGAATTACTTTAAGGTCCACTGAAGACAATTAATTACTCCTAAATCTATTAACAACTAAGCTTAAGAGAACGACAACACAATTATTCAATATTATATAAAGTTAGACAACCAAAAGCCCGCTTTAACCTAACTTTTATAACCAGATTAAATTGTTCAACAAATGTGATTTTCAACCCAAATCAAATTACTGAATCAAGCTGATTTTCATTACTCCATCAAGTTAAGGCATCTATTGTTAAGCAGCCTCTAGAGACTTAAGATCGACTAATTTATTATCCTTTACCTTAATGATTGAACACAAATGACTTCAATACATAATAATATCTTTTTTATTTAAGCAAAAGGTAGGCAATATATAATAATATCTTATTAACGTTTTTTCCTTGTTAATTTGATTAATTTTGTGCTTTTTTTTTTGCTGAACTGATAAATGGCCATTAATGTCATGTCACTGTGCTCTATTAATTGTTTCGAAATGATAAAGTTAACAGGACTCGCCAGTTTGGGTGCTTATCACATTAATGTGACAGGAGGAGGTGTACACTTAGAAGGTGATATGGTATAAAATGTTAGTTGACGTGACATGAGATGGCTTGTTTATTTTTTTTAAATGACTTTTTGTAGCAATAAAAAGGTTTTTAATGACAATTTTTTGCCGTAGGTTTCTTGGTAGTCAATGCCATAGGTTTAGGTAAAGCCTTGGTAACTAATCGAGCCTTATATTTATTGAGACTACTATTAGGACTATATTTCTTTGTAAGAACCCATTTACTCCCTGCAACTAACTTTCCCCAAAGTAACTCCACAATTTCCCATGTCTAATTTTTATTTAGAGCTTTTACCTCTTCATTAATAGCCACCTTCCATTTAGGGTCAACTATGGCTTCCTTAAAAGTCTTAAGTATATTCTCACTATCAATAGTAGTAAAAAAGTTCTTGATTAAATTGAGAATTGAGTTTTTCATAGGAGGCATACCTATTTATAGGGTTCTAGAACAACTCATCTTCCCTTTTCTAAGAGCAATAGGCCATTGAAGATCTTTAGGATTACCCTTAGATTGAGAATCATGACTTTGACTTAGAGTGACAATGGGATCTTTATTGTTTGTGTGCTGTTCAACTTGGTATGTCCATAATTCATCCAAGTATGGCTCAGAATTGGGTTCAGTTTGGGTAGGTTGTTTAGGTTCTGGGATAGGTATAGAACCAGAGTCAGCAAAGAAAGGGTCTGATGACTTATGAGAACTCACACTAGGCTACTAGTCTGTTTATTATTTGAACGACCATTGTTTATGGCACAAATTAGCCATTCACTATCATTCTCCCCTTGAATAGGTAATTTAAGGAAGAAAGGTAGTGATTCAACAAATGTGACATTCAGAGTGACATAGAACTTGTGAGTATCAGAATAATAACACTTATACCCTTTTGGGTAGAGGAATATCCTAAGAAAATGCATTCAATGGATTGAGATTCGAGTTTGCTGCCTACATCATGAAGGACAAAGGTTGTGCACCTAAATGCCTTTTTGAAAGAGAGTTAATTAAATGAGAGTGAGGATAGGATGTCGAAAATAAGTTAAGAGGGGTTTAAAAGATGAGAACCTTATAGGGCATGTGGTTAATGAGGTAAGTAGCAGTAAGGATTGCATCTCCCTAAAATTTGTGTGGAACATTATTAATTAATAACCAGGCCCTAACAAATTTGAATAAGTGTCTATGTTTCCCTTTGGCTACTCCATTTTGTTGAGGGGAATGCACATAAAAAGTTTGGTGGTGTATTCCATTTTAGTAAGAAAAGTGTTAAGGGTTGAATTGAGATATTTAGTTCTATTATCACTATAAAGGATTTGATAGAAGTTTGAAATTGAGTTTGAACAAAAGTATGAAATTTTTTGAAAACAATGCAAACTTCAAAGTTATCTTTCATTGGAAAAATCCATGTCAGCAGTGTATGGTCATCAATAAAAGAAACAAACCACTTAACCATAATATGAGTTTCAAGTCATGAAGGACCCCACACATCACTATGTATGAGAGAAAAAGGTGTAAGGGTATAAGAGTTAGTTTGGAAAGCATTTTTAGTTTGTTTAGAAAATTGGAAGTATCACAATGAAATTTAATTTTATTCATAGAGTTAGGAAACAAACTTTCATATAATGAAAACTGGGATAACCTAAATGAAAATGCCATAACATAATGTCTTCTTGAGACATAATAGAAAACGCAGAAATAGAATTGGAAATAGGATCAACCAAATAGCTTTTATTGGTAGATTTGCCTTCTAGATAATAGAGCCCATTACATTCCTTAACATTGCTAATCATCCTCCTTGAGGCTAAATTTTGAAAAACACGACAAGATTTGTCAAAGGTGGCAAGGCAAGTAATAGGTAATACATGTGACTAATAACAAACTAATATTGGATATCTAAAACATATAAAACATTCTTCAAAATAATAAAGTTGGAGACAATAATGGTGTCACATTCTCAAAATAAAAGGTGACTAGCATGAGGTGTGAACCATATCATACATTTCCAGAAGCCTCAAAATCGTAAGTTCATTTTATTTTTAAATTGTAATCAGATTTA